GTGACATGCAGTATTTTTCTGTCATAACCTGAACGGACTGCGCACGTGAGAACTGTAGCCCATAAAACACACAGGGATACATTGGGATGCATTTTTAGTGCAGGAGCGTACGGATCAGGTCAGCACAGAAAACGAACGTCGTGTGAACAGGCCCTAAAGGAGAACTCCAGGCAAATAAAAGCTTAATGCAGTGGGACTATCCCTCATGCGCAAGGGTTAACCTCTTGCCGTCCGCCCATAGTAGAAAAACGGACGGACGGCACTGCAGCATCTGCGGGTTGCCGTCTCCAGACGGCAATTTTTTTCTGCTCGCGCGCGCCCCCTAGCGGGCACGCACGGGCAGAAAAGACCCGATCAGTGCACACACCCGTTACCGGGTGTTACACATATAGGCGATCAGCGGGTCCATAGCCCGCCGATCGCCTATATGTGCTCATTCGCGGATGCCGTGACAGGAGAGGGGCTGGATTCCCCCCGTCCCCACTCCGATCCTCCCACGCTGACTGGCGGAACGGACAGGGGAGGGGGTGTGTACAGCTGGCTCTGCCTCTAGATAGGCAGAGCCAGCTGTCAGTCACGCAGCTGGGCGGATCTCGACATCGATGTCGGGATCCGCTGCGGCGTCTCGGTATACCACGAGCTGTAGCTCCCTATATACTGAGCTTAGGGTGACGGGAGGACGCTAGTTTGTGTCCTCCCGTTACCCTAAGGAGAACTATGGGGAAAAGCCCTAACCTCATAGTTCTCCTTTTAAGCCTAGAAATGATCCCTGAATACAACAGGCCGTATTCACTACACGAGCACACCAGGATAGGGATACCGATTTCCAAAATGGTGACCGTCCAATGAGATTTACATATTACAGTCACATAGATGAAATAAAGATCCTTCTCCTTGTGTTAGAGCTTTGTAAATTAAGATTTGAACCTCCCGTTCTTCTTCAATGTCTGTTTTCAGAGTAATTTGTATTAATTGATATTTACAATATAAAAAAAATTAAACTTGATGGCGACAACGAGAGAGAGAAAGCTTGTGTCCCCGAAAGTGATAAGTAGTTGTATACAGTGTTTATCTCCTTTCCTTTTGCTGTCTAATACTATTTGCTCATTGTGTGAACTGTTCTCTTTTTTTCTTCCTTCCTTTCCCTTGCAAAGCAATTATCGACCCCTCATTAATCAGACGCAAGCCGCGTGCATACAATGCGTCCGACAAGAGCCAATACACACTCATTTTTTCATAATAAAGAACTCATCACTTTGGGGGCCGGTGCAAGCTTTCTAGAAAGCCTTGTACACTTTGCACAAGCACCACGTATCTTAATCAAATGAACTGCGAGTGTCTGCTGCAAACCAACTTTTGCAGGATAAATGGCCCCATTCACCGTGACGTCGGGGGATTTGATTTTTTTTTATCGTCAAGCAAGTTTCTAAGTCTTTCCTACTCTATCCACTAGTAATTTCTGTTTGAAGTTCGACTAATTTATTCAGAGAATACCGGTGACGGAAAGTAGAGATCACACAGGGGTATGAGCTCCATTTCACTGAAGAAGAGTGTAAGAGAAAGTAATGAAATGACCTCCGCTTTTAGACCCCGTTCACACTGAGCGGTTTATAGCGCGATTTCCGCTAGTATTATTATACAGGATTTATATAGAGCGCCAACAGTGTGCGCAGCGCTTTACAATATAAGGAAGACATTACAATTCAAGACAAGATGGTGAGGAGGGCCCTGCCCCTGAGGGCTTACAATCTGAAAGAGGAGGGGCATGTGATACATGAGGAGGGAGCTGTGTGGGGATGAATTGTTTGAGAATGTGAAGGTTCAGTGGTTAGGTCGAGGTGGGATCAGCTTCCTGGAAGAGGTGAGTCTTTAGGGAACGCCTAAAGGCAGTCAAGGTGGGAGATAGACGGACAGGTTGGGGTAAAGAGTTCCAGAGGATGGGAGGGACTCTAGAGAAGTCCTGGAGGCGAGTATGGGAGGAGATGATGAGGGAGCTGGAAAGCAGAAGGTCTTGGAGAGAGCAGAGGGGACGGGGAAGGTCGGAGATATATCCGGGGCGGAGTTGTGGATGGCTTTATAAGTGAAAGAGATAATAAGGGAGTGGATGAGTAGTTTTGCGGTGTCATTGGGAGGATGAAGGCGGCAGGATTTGGATAGCGATTGGATGTGGGGAAGAAAGGTGAGGTCCGAGTCAAGGATAGTAAATTGCACATATTTCCGCGCGATATCGCTCTATGTAGCTTGACCAATGAATTGCAATGGAGCTGTTCACATCTCACAGCTCAATGTCGCCTGTAGCTCATCGCTCGTACATGACCCTTTTTTCTGCAGATGTCGCGCGTTTCGGCCCCAATAGACTCAATGGTGTCGCGCATTACCGGCGATATTGTGCGACATGGCGCTAGAGAAGGGTCACTTTTGCACAGCGTTATGTACGGAAAGAATGATGTCGCATCAAGACCGCAGTTGGTTGGTTACAGCCCAATGTAGCAGCGACAAAGTCGCCCTACGTAGCGCGTCAAAATGTGCATTGTCGAGCAATATTGCGCAATGTAGCTCAATGCCGCTCAGCACGAAATCGCGCAGACAAACGCGCGATTCTCCATGTCGCTCTTACTCTACATGAAAATGTCCTGGGGGCACAGATCTTCTCTGACTTCTTGTCTCTGTGCAATCCAACAGTAAGTGGGGTGAAATCTCCCGGATAGCTACTATCGCATATTATAAGGAGTAGGTCTTCACTTCGCTTATCAGGATTAGGTCTTCAACATGCTTTTCTCATATCGCTAATAGTATCAGATCTGCTGTGCTGTAGGAATGAGCTCAGGTTGGGACCAGGCTTTGGTGTGAACCTAAGCTCCTCCAAACCCAGAAGTAAGCTGCTTCCACTGCTACCTAATCAGCTGCGGCTGGGAAATTGCCCACCTACAGCTGCAGGTAAGCCAAGGGACAAGATGCAATGAAGTGGGGATGTTCAGATACAAAGTACCACACTCCGTACAAGTACATGCACAAATACTTTTCCAGCAGCTGTCATTTTTAAGGAGCATATGGAGCTCCTGGGATTTGTGCATCCCTGTTTTAATGTATGTTTTTTATTTAAATAAATATATATATAAGGGATGCACCGATACCATTTTTTCAAGTACTGATACTTGTCCAAGTCCTCACAGATACAAGTACTGATACTTGTCCAAGTCCTCCCAGATACAAGTACTGATACGTTTTTCTTTAGTGTCATGTGACAGTTTTTCGAAAACAATACAGACTAATGATTTCAGGACAGTGATGGAGCACCATGGTCAGGTCCCAGCTGCAACCCTGGTAGTTCTCATGAAAATGCCAAGTATCGGCACTGGTATCTGAACATTCCTACTATGAAGTCATTGACCCTCTATGACCACCTAGTCGTTATAAGATTTAAGGAACTTTGCACATATGGGCAGCGCTTAGTGACCACTCTTGAAGACGTTTTTGACATAAAAGGACAGTCTCTCTTTAGTCTTCACAAACAGATAATAGCTCCTAGTCAGCCAAAGGCAACACAAAGTCCACTTGTCTTTGAACAAAGTAACATAATGAGTTTCACCAACTACAGGTTGTCCTTCACAGACCACTTGACCCAAATCCCAGGGTTTTTTGGGGAACAGAACAACAGCCCCCTCCGTAGTATTCAGTGCCCATAAGCACTCCAGTATGGTAAGAATGGTTTCCACACACATCTGTATGGTCTCGGCTACTACACCCCCCTCCTGTGTGTTCCTGGTTCCTTCAGCCTCACCACTCTATCAGCCTACCTGGCTGTCTCCCGTGTGGCTCCACGACCACTCGGCTCAACTCCTGTGTGCCTCTCAATCGCGCCACCTCCAAACACATACTCCCTGAACTGTGGTCCAGTCTCATTAATAGGCAAGGTGTGCTGGTGACATCCTTCAAACTATCATTAATAGGGCTGTCTACAGCCACCTGATTGGCTTAGTCCAGTAATGGCGACACTTGGACCCAGGATTGGAGATTTCATCCCACCCAAGACTCTTGTAAATCTCCAGAGTCCCAAATCCCAGCTACAAGGTAGAAAACCTGGAAAGAACTGAAAAGCCAGATAGTTACCTGTAAAAATACTTTCAAAGTGCACTGGCTTGCTCAGTAGCATTGCACTTTAAGATTCACCCCAGGATCAGGCGTATTGAACGTCCACAGAGCTGTAAAACCCCAGAAACTGATGGAGAGAGTACTCAACACCCGTCTATCCAGCCTATGGCCAGTACATAGGAACATGAATGCAACCTAGGTAAGGGAACCCCCTGGAGTAGTGATGCTCAAGTGGGTGTGTTCAGTAGGGTCTCCTACAAAATTGTGTGCATCTTACTGCACTCCTTACCGGATCTCCTAGGAGATGATGTCTGTAATAGGGTGCTTGCAGCGACCACGAAGGCACCGTGTAGTCAAGTAGTAATTCCAAAAGATGTCACCAGCACTCCAAAAGTAGATTCCATAAATTTTAATGACAACGGTCATTCAAAATCACAAGTACTGTCGGGGCCACGTTGGGTCCCCGTCATCAGGCTCAGAATAACACACTGTGCAACCCAAACCATACATATATATTAAAGGTCACAGATGTGTATATATGTAGGTTTGGGTTGCACAGTGTGTTATTCTGAGCCTGATGACGGGGACCCAACGTGGCCCCGACAGTACTTGTGACTTTGTATGACCGATGTCATTAAAATTTATGGAATCTACTTTTGGAGTGCTGGTGACATCTTACTCGCTTGTTAAGGCAACCGTAGATGACAATACATAGTATACAGGCCATAGAAATGAATAGAGCGATCGGCGCTGTATAGTCCGGGTTTTGCATCCGAAGCTTGAATGGTTTATTTTTAGGTGGGAAAATGGAGGATCCTTTGCCGAAGTTTTCATTGGAATTGTTAAATGTGATCCCAAAACTCAGCTACCCCGTGACTAATTGTGCCATCTTTTGGTTTTCTTTACAGTCTGCCAGAAACCATGTCACATTACACAGATGAACCCAGATTCACCATAGAGCAGATAGACCTGCTGCAACGTCTGCGACGCACTGGAATGACCAAACACGAAATCCTGCACGCGCTGGAGACGCTGGACCGCCTGGACCAAGAACACAGTGACAAATTCGGAAGGAGGTCCAACTATGGGAGCAGCACTTATAACAGCACTAACAATGTCCCCGCCTCTTCTTCCACTGCCACCGCTTCAACACAGACCCTCCATTGTGGCATGTCCCCATCGCCCAGCAATAGCTGTGACACCTCCCCGCAACCTTGCACTACCAACCAGAACGGGAGAGAGAGCAGTGAGAGGATCCCGACCTCCAATGGGAAGATGTCTCCAACACGTTATCATACCAACAGCATTGGACCAAGGTCGTATAGCTTTGAGGCATCGGAGGAGGATCTGGATGTTGATGACAAGGTGGAAGAGTTAATGAGGTCAGTATAGTGCATTGATCTAGAATCATACCAATCGATCTGTATATCTTTGTAATTGTTTTTACATATGCTAGCAAAAGTGTGGGGGGGCATTGTGTACAGGAGACGAGTGTGGAGGGTATGACAGGGGGCAATATGTACAGGAGAGGGGTGTGGAGGGTATGACAGGGGGCAATATGTACAGGAGAGGGGTGTGGAGGGTATGACAGGGGGCAATATGTACAGGAGAGGGGTGTGGAGGGTATGACAGGGGGCAATATGTACAGGAGAGGGGTGTGGAGGGTATGACAGGGGGCAATATGTACAGGAGAGGGGTGTGGAGGGTATGACAGGGGGCAATATGTACAGGAGAGGGGTGTGGAGGGTATGACAGGGGGCAATATGTACAGGAGAGGGGTGTGGAGGGTATGACAGGGGGCAATATGTACAGGAGAGGGGTGTGGAGGGTATGACAGGGGGCAATATGTACAGGAGAGGGGTGTGGAGGGTATGACAGGGGGCAATATGTACAGGAGAGGGGTGTGGAGGGTATGACAGGGGGCAATATGTACAGGAGAGGGGTGTGGAGGGTATGACAGGGGGCAATATGTACAGGAGAGGGGTGTGGAGGGTATGACAGGGGGCAATATGTACAGGAGAGGGGTGTGGAGGGTATGACAGGGGGCAATATGTACAGGAGAGGGGTGTGGAGGGTATGACAGGGGGCAATATGTACAGGAGAGGGGTGTGGAGGGTATGACAGGGGGCAATATGTACAGGAGAGGGGTGTGGAGGGTATGACAGGGGGCAATATGTACAGGAGAGGGGTGTGGAGGGTATGACAGGGGGCAATATGTACAGGAGAGGGGTGTGGAGGGTATGACAGGGGGCAATATGTACAGGAGAGGGGTGTGGAGGGTATGACAGGGGGCAATATGTACAGGAGAGGGGTGTGGAGGGTATGACAGGGGGCAATATGTACAGGAGAGGGGTGTGGAGGGTATGACAGGGGGCAATATGTACAGGAGAGGGGTGTGGAGGGTATGACAGGGGGCAATATGTACAGGAGAGGGGTGTGGAGGGTATGACAGGGGGCAATATGTACAGGAGAGGGGTGTGGAGGGTATGACAGGGGGCAATATGTACAGGAGAGGGGTGTGGAGGGTATGACAGGGGGCAATATGTACAGGAGAGGGGTGTGGAGGGTATGACAGGGGGCAATATGTACAGGAGAGGGGTGTGGAGGGTATGACAGGGGGCAATATGTACAGGAGAGGGGTGTGGAGGGTATGACAGGGGGCAATATGTACAGGAGAGGGGTGTGGAGGGTATGACAGGGGGCAATATGTACAGGAGAGGGGTGTGGAGGGTATGACAGGGGGCAATATGTACAGGAGAGGGGTGTGGAGGGTATGACAGGGGGCAATATGTACAGGAGAGGGGTGTGGAGGGTATGACAGGGGGCAATATGTACAGGAGAGGGGTGTGGAGGGTATGACAGGGGGCAATATGTACAGGAGAGGGGTGTGGAGGGTATGACAGGGGGCAATATGTACAGGAGAGGGGTGTGGAGGGTATGACAGGGGGCAATATGTACAGGAGAGGGGTGTGGAGGGTATGACAGGGGGCAATATGTACAGGAGAGGGGTGTGGAGGGTATGACAGGGGGCAATATGTACAGGAGAGGGGTGTGGAGGGTATGACAGGGGGCAATATGTACAGGAGAGGGGTGTGGAGGGTATGACAGGGGGCAATATGTACAGGAGAGGGGTGTGGAGGGTATGACAGGGGGCAATATGTACAGGAGAGGGGTGTGGAGGGTATGACAGGGGGCAATATGTACAGGAGAGGGGTGTGGAGGGTATGACAGGGGGCAATATGTACAGGAGAGGGGTGTGGAGGGTATGACAGGGGGCAATATGTACAGGAGAGGGGTGTGGAGGGTATGACAGGGGGCAATATGTACAGGAGAGGGGTGTGGAGGGTATGACAGGGGGCAATATGTACAGGAGAGGGGTGTGGAGGGTATGACAGGGGGCAATATGTACAGGAGAGGGGTGTGGAGGGTATGACAGGGGGCAATATGTACAGGAGAGGGGTGTGGAGGGTATGACAGGGGGCAATATGTACAGGAGAGGGGTGTGGAGGGTATGACAGGGGGCAATATGTACAGGAGAGGGGTGTGGAGGGTATGACAGGGGGCAATATGTACAGGAGAGGGGTGTGGAGGGTATGACAGGGGGCAATATGTACAGGAGAGGGGTGTGGAGGGTATGACAGGGGGCAATATGTACAGGAGAGGGGTGTGGAGGGTATGACAGGGGGCAATATGTACAGGAGAGGGGTGTGGAGGGTATGACAGGGGGCAATATGTACAGGAGAGGGGTGTGGAGGGTATGACAGGGGGCAATATGTACAGGAGAGGGGTGTGGAGGGTATGACAGGGGGCAATATGTACAGGAGAGGGGTGTGGAGGGTATGACAGGGGGCAATATGTACAGGAGAGGGGTGTGGAGGGTATGACAGGGGGCAATATGTACAGGAGAGGGGTGTGGAGGGTATGACAGTGGGAAGGCCGGAGGTCAGATATAAGACTGAAGGGAAGGCCGGAGGTCAGATATGAGAGTAGACTGGAGGGATGTATGGAGTTCTGCTTTGTGTTTAGTCCATTGGGTTGCACACGGGATCATTCTATGAAGGTGATCTGAGTGTAGCTCTCGCCCCCATTGTGGAGACTCTGGAGGTGTAAATCTATCCTGCCACTAAACAAATACATTCGTTTCATCACTGAAACACTGTAATTGGTTCTGAAATTTCTAATTTTCTTTTTTTAATTAAGAAAGAGATTAAAATTCTGTTGTGGCCTTTAATTTCGGCTGTATATCCTTCCATTGTTTAATTAAGTGCTCCCCCCTTCACCTACGTTCTCCCGGCTCAGTACGGGAAGAACGGCGCTCTGCTGACTTCAGTGGCTTTGCTTGTTCTGGTGACACAACAAACGTCTCGGCCTTCCTCGGGTCATAATTAATAGATTGTAATTACAAGACTTGAAATATTTCCATACCGACAGTGAAGCTGATTTCTGTGAATTGAAATTCCGGCTGGAATGGATTTAATTCCATTAAGGTGTCACGGGGTGACTTTTAGGGAGGACCAGACCTGCAAAGGTTAGACGTGTACAATGTTCATAGTGGACCTCACAGTTCAATGCAAGGTCCGCTTATACTGCCTGCACCCCCTCCATGAAACACCCAGGTATACGTCCCCCACCCCCTTCCCCTGTCCATACACTAAGCTTAGGTGTCCTCACAGTTCAATGCCAGACCCTCTTATACTGCCTGGACCCCTCCATGATACACCCCGGGTATACGTCCCCCACCCCCTTCCTCTGTCCATAGACTAAGCTTAGGTGTACTCACAGTTCAATGCCAGACCCTCTTATACTGCCTGGACCCCTCCATGATACACCCCGGGTATACGTCCCCCACGCGCTTCCTCTGTCCATAGACTAAGCTTAGGTGTCCTCACAGTTCAATGCCAGACCCTCTTATACTGCCTGGACCCCTCCATGAAACACCCCGGGTATACGTCCCCACCCCCTTCCTCTGTCCATGGACTAAGCTTGGGTGTCCTCCCAGTTCAATGCAAGGTCCTCTTGTACTGCCTGGACCCCTCCATGATACACCCCGGGTATACGTCCCCCATCCCCACCCCCTTCCCCTGTCCATAGACTAAGCTTAGGTGTCCTCCCAGTTCAATGCAAGGTCCTCTTGTACTGCCTGGAACCCCTCCATGAAACACCCCGGGTATACGTCCCCACCCCCTTCCTCTGTCCATGGACTAAGCTTGGGTGTCCTCCCAGTTCAATGCAAGGTCCTCTTGTACTGCCTGGAACCCCTCCATGAAACACCCCGGGTATACGTTCCCGCCCCCTTCCTCTGTCCATGTACTAAGCTTGGGTGTCCTCACACTTCTGGGGAATACAGATGGGGCAAATTCTCTCAAGGAGGTGCTCTTGCGATGGACTGGGGTGTCTTCTTGCAAGATTAGGCCTGCCTACATTCCCCGGGAATCTTCCAGGACGGTGAGGTGATTGGTGAAGAGGGGTCCCGGGCAATTTTAATGGATTTTGCATTTTGTTACAAGATCATCCTTAATGTCTTGCACTGTTTGCAGTGTTTCAGGTTAAAGTGAAACTCCACTTAAAAAAAATATACACTCCTCTCCAGGCCAATTGTTTACCTTTTTAAGTGAAGATCCTTACCCGCTTCTCCAGTATAGATACTGAGAAAGGAAATCCTTGTATGCTTCACTGGAAGTGTTGACATTTCAGTGCCAGTGTTGCCTCTTTACCCTGGCCAGTATATAACACAGAAGGCTGTGACTGCAGGAACCCCGTGGTCAATGCTGTGGATGCCGGAACTCTGGGACAACATTGAAATAGTGACAAACGGGCAAAGAACCGGCACAGGCAGTATAGGTGGAATGGTCGCAAGAATAAAAATGTTTTTTTTTAATCAGTTTTTAGTGAACCGTTGCTGGCTGCAGATCAGTATCTGAACCCCGGCACACTAGAATTCACATGGCTGGAAGAAGGGGTAATCATAGTGTTGCTCTAAGAAGTTGCGGGATCGGTCTTAAAACTTCCACCTTATATCATTGGATTTTAGAGTAGCACGTCCATGGAACGCAGAGGTTTAGGAAGGGGGTGGGAGAGCTTGTTGATGACGGACATGAGCTCTGTGAAGTTTGGGAGGGGGGTAGAGGGAGCTTAATAATGACGGACATGAGCTCTGTGAAGTTTGGGAGGGGGGTAGAGGGAGCTTAATAATG